TCACTTGGCTGGGCAAACTTGTTGATGGGGCAGCCTCTCTGTACAGAAAGGGAAAGGAGTTGCAGTTGCTTATCCTCCAGACAGAAAAGTCAAGGGAGACACAATATCTTCTATCTTTATCAAATTTTTTGAATCTGACCACTGCCTGCAAAACTGGTAGATGTGACAGCTAAGACAGACCAAGAAACAGAACAACGTGATTGTGCAATGCGATTCCCCAAGCACTCCTGATATAAAGAATGTAAAGGCAGGGAAACAACTTCAGTGACCGTAACTGAGATCTTACTGAAAGAACTGCAACAAAGTACATGGTCTCATTTCTGTCCTCCACCCAGTCCTGCTCAAGAAAAACGGTGAAGAGAAACTGCACCAGGGTACAGTTCTGAAGTCAGCATTTGTACTGTAGCTTTCTGATACTATTGCAGTGAATGATTAAAAATGTTTCTCTCTTTGTGACTGAAGCCTCAGTCTAAACCACAATAAAGGTGACACCTGTTTCTTCAGGATTATTCTGGTAATATATCTGATCCAAGAGAAAATGCCACTTTTCCCCCAGCAAATGTGGCATTAAAGGGGAAATATAGTAAAATTCCAACCAGAACTTGCCAAAACTGTGAATCTAAAGCTATTTGCCCTGGAAAGAAAAATATCCACTATGTTCTCAGCACTGAAGCATAAAATGGATGTTTTCTTTCCATCCAAATTTCCTGTGGGTTTTGTTTTGGTTTTGTTTTTTTACTAATAACAGAGTAGCAGAAACCTTATAGAGGACAAAACCCCCACAATTTCATATCATCTCCATTTTGAGAATTTTCTGTACGGAGCATAATCCAAATCCAACATCATACTTCTGCTTTTTATCTTCAGAATAGTAGTGTCCATGTCATTATAGCTGACTTTTCACTGCTGGGTAACTAAGCTATTTTTCCCTTGGCAGACATGGCCACCAGAGAGTCACCATCAGGGACAGCCCCAATGCACAGGCGATGTATGTGTTGGGCAAACCCCCATCCTGGCCAGTTAACCAAGATGCAGCACTTAAGTGCACCCTGGGTGCTAGACTGGGCTTAGGTGTTGTGATGAAATTCCTCACACAAACTACTTTTGAAAAGCCACAGCCTGCATTTGTATGTTTAGTCATAATCACTGATTTGGCTTTTTGAAATGCTTCTTGTGACTTGATTGCTTTTAGTAGCTACTTGGCTTTAACTGCACAGGAAGCAGAAAATAGATTAAAACAGCAAGCACAGTTGGAGCTACAACAAATTGAGAAAGGTGCTTTAAGAACTTACCAAGATACCTTTGTCGTTGGTTTTTGGGCTTCTATCCCAATGACTTCAGCTTGAAAGCATTAAAATTAGTTCCTTATACATGCTTTGCAGGTGATGGGGTTTTTTTGAGCTTTAATTTGCTGTTTGATTTGCCCCGGGATTTTCAGGTGTTGCATGAGGGAGAAAAGAACAGAAAGTACCTCAGTTCTTGGTTGTCAGCCATTGGATGATGGCCACAACATTATTAAACCATCCAAGCATGCTGGGTCTCAACCACAAAATTTAATTTTCCCTACTGCAGGGACTAATCAACTACCAGAGGCACTAAGTCCTGAGGAAACTGGTTTTATCTGTATTTTTTTTCTTTCAAAAACTGAAGCACAGTTAATTTTACAGTTTTGTCTATCCTCAGGCTTACAAACAATGACAGAAATGCAGCTCGATGAGAAACAGATAAAAACTGGAATTTGTGCTTACTCTATGACATAAATTAAAGAAAGATGAAAGGTTTAAATAATTAACAGCACCTCTATAAGTCAGATAGAAAGACCAAAGATTCCCTTAGCTGAAGGGAAAAAGAGACTGAAAGGGGAATAAAGCACACTGAATGCTATCAGCAGCTACCTCGTTTTGTGTGAAACTGAAAAGGAAAGTTGGTTCTCAATGCAATTGCTTGTTTCCGCAAAACCACCTCTGCTGACAAACTAAATTCACATTTCCGAGTCTTCAGAAGGCATTTAGAAGGACACACACATTTGTATGTCAAATTTAGTATTTCAAAGAACTATTTGTCATGGATTCACTGCATAATAATCCCTTAGCTTCTCAAGTAGTTGCTAAAATATTTTTTTTTTCAGGAACTTCATGTATATGTTCTCCACCCCAGAAATGTAACTAGGCAGTTGAACCATTTATGTTTCATTTTCTGAGAAGTATAGGGTTTCATGCTAAGAAGACAAACCTGTGAGGGAAGTAAAGAGAGCAAGGAAAGCAAAGAAATGCAGCAGCTCAACACCACCTCAATATTCATCTATATTGTTTTAATCATAGAAACTGTTTCTTGGAGTTCTTCCAAGAAAGGGGAGCAAGGGGGAAACTCCAATGAAATAATGATATCTTGAAATCTACCAGTATTGGAGATAAAGGCTGTACTGTGCACATGTTAAATTTATCAGAAAAAGATGGTTGCCAAAGCAGTTCACATGACTAAGACAGAATTCTTTCAAAATTATGGTTGTTCAGGATTTATAGGAAACATTAGCTTAAAAGAAATTTGAAAATAGAAGAAAGTTCTAGCCAAAGAAAACAATTATAAATATTCTTAATTGCCTGGAAATAATTTGTCATACAAAATTGGACTGAGATACATTTATACAAAAGCTTCAGATGCGTTGATGCTGTAATGCCTTTTAGGAGCCCAGCATATTTTTGCACAGAGAGTTCCAGTAACGCATTACAGAAAAGGATATGACTTTCACTTTTATCTTCTGTCTCCCTTCCTCACTCCATTCTCTCCTTCACTTTTTTCTCTTCACTTTTCTCCTTTCCTTTTTTCTTTTTCATTTTGCAGGGCAGGGGGGAGCATAAAATAACTGGAAGACTCCGTAACTGCTACTCAGTGTATTTTATTATTTCAGGAATTCATTCCAAGCTGGGCTGCAATTACATTTAAAACTTGAGAATAATGGGCTATTGACATGTATATAGTTTTAGAAATATAAGGCCTCATTTTCTCAGCTGGAATTTCCCTACAATGTGCATTTGCATTACATTAGAGGTGCTCTTTCTAAAAAGAGCATAGCCTGCATTCAGACATTTTGACATTATCTGGGTCAGAGGCAACATTTAAAAGCAATAGCCCTACATCTACTGTGAATCTCTTACAAGCACACACAATGCATTAGTGAAAATGAGGGGAAAACTGAGAGGTTCTCCATATTAAGCCATAGTTTATGACATACCTGCCTGCACCAGACATTAATCTGCAGGAGATAGATTGTCATGGTCATGGTCCCCTGCTCCACTCCAATTGCATATACATTACCTAAATTGAAATCTGCACTTCTTCACACCATGTGTAGTTTGATGTGGCCAGAAATGGTAGAATGCATAAACTAGTGGTTTTCATGGTGTATAAAATAATCTCCATTTTCCGTGTATTTACCTACACATATAGCAGCTGCAAGTTTTTCGTTCTGGCTTAACAATGAGGACTTTATTCTCTCTCAGCTTAGCTGACGTCCAGCTAGCTTGTCAGGCTCAAAATTGCATGGCACTGATTAAGCATGTAAGCAACTCAGTACCTTTCTTGTTCCCAGAAGTGCATAAGACATAAGGAAAAAGGAATGCAGAAGTTTTTCACCTGTTATAATTGTTTCATAAAGCCCTGTACAATGTATTCTTTGTCATCTTCGAAGAATGGGTCATTTATGATGGTAATGCTTACACAAGTGTGTTTTATGAATAGAAAGATCTGCGTAATTGGTGTGGTATTACAAGTGAAAACCCATGGAGGTTGCACAAGATATATTTAACTTCCTAATTCACAGCTTTCAAGATTTCCAGATATCAGATGTTTAATTTGTCCTTCATTGACATATTCCATTCTAATGAAAAGGGCTCCAGATTAGTACCATCACAGTGTAATTACTGAGATATTAAAGCCAGTGTAAAGTATGGGTTTTTCTTGCTTCCTCTTTTCATGTCTCATTTCTAACACTTACCCTCACTCCCAATTTCTATCACCATCACAAATTTCCTTTCTTTCAAATTCTCCTATTTTAATGTTCTTCCTCTCTTTCTTTCTCAAAAACCTGACATTACCTTTGCTGCTCCCTTGGCACTTGGCTATTTCTAACCCTGGCCAATTCCTCACATACAATACATCTCTCCTAGCACTTTTTCCCCTGTCTTCAGTTGTTTCTTTCAAAGCCTCTCTTCTCTTCCTGTTTTCCTGTTCATTCTGATGTATCCCTTTTTAACCAGACAACCAATGAGGAGGATCACTGAACAGACTGGGAACGATTCAAAGCCTGGCGAGACATATATGGGGCCTGAAAGGACTACAAATCCACGGACTTTCCTGTTATTTCCCCAGTTTTATACCATATTTTAATGTACCCTCATGTTATTCCCTATGGTTTATACTGTTCAGGGCTTGCCTGGACTTGCCCTCAGTTTTTTCCCGCTGAAAGTTGTTTACTCCCTTGTCCTCCCCTGCTTTCCCGCTCATCTCTCACTGATTGGCTGATGGTTGCCGCAGTGCAGAGTGAGCTCCCACTGGTCCTTTCCCCTGGATACCCCAAAGTTCCACCCATCTTCTCCCTCTCCCCCAGTCCTATTCTGCCCTGAGTTGTCAGTCCTATGCTCCACCCCAGTTATTGAATCTCCCCTTACCCAAACCCTATTTAAGTCTGTGTCTCTCCTAATAAAATTACCATTGCACCCTGACCTTCTGCTGTGTCAGAACCCCTTTTGTGCAGTGCTGCGTCCCTATCCCCTTTCCCTTGCGGGCCGTGGCAAACCACATTTTCCAGTCCCTTTACCTCTTTCTCTCTCCTTCCTTTAAACTGAACCCTGGATTTGCTTTGATAAGCCAGCCCTTCTTGATGGCCTATCCCCACCTCTCCTTCTCCATCTAGCAGAAAGATATTTCTCTTGCATTCCAGTGCTTGAATTTCCAGTTCTAGCATCTCTAGACCAATTAAGACAATAACCATGACAGAAAAAGCTTCTTAATAGAATCACAAAAGTGTGTCCAATAACAGATGGCTGTCCCTTGACTTTTGGAAAAAGAAAATCCTAAAATCAGCAGACTCACAGGGAACCTCTTAAGATCCTGTAAGGAGGATGTCCCAGAAGACTGAAGCTTGTCCTTCTACCAGTTAGGTAAGGAGGGTAGGTAGGACCTGCAGAAAAGAGAATTTGGGGTGTCCTTTCCCCTGCCTAAGTTTCAGGAACTATAATTTTTCTTCCGAAGTTTGACCACCTCTCCCTGGCTTTGAATCAAACCTAGACAAAGGTATGTACATTTCTTCTGAGGGAAGGATTTCTTGCCTCCTAGTGCAGTAAAGAGGGAAGAGCTGCTTACATACAGCTTTAGGTTCACTGCTCCACCAACACGAGACTGTATCAGAGTTTTCTTCGCACAAGACAGAGCAACTCTCGCAGGTGTCTCTCTCTCCTAAAGGAAGGGGGAGTTGGAAAGTGGGAATGGATGGACTGGTATTCTGTTTTGGCTTTCGTTTTTTTTTCCACAGCAAGTAGGCATTTTCTGTTCTTTTCCCAAATACAATCTAGCTGGCTGTCAACTGGTGTGGTTGTAAACAAGCATTCCTACCTAATATATTTGATTCCTGTACTGTGCATCGTTAGACAAGATAAAGTGGTTTCACTTCACTCCACCATAAAACACTCAAGCTGCTACGTAACTCCAGAAAGCAAACTGTCTTTTTCAGGTCCCTTTTTCTGACAGGTGAAGTTAACACCTGGTGCCCCACCCAGGCCTGGGAGAAAATACGATTTCTACATGATTTTGTTAGCAATATTACTCACCCCAATGCCATTGTGATGGAAACTCATCCCTTTAAGAAAGTTATTGATATTTTAAAAATGATTTTACAGTTTTAGCACATGGCAATGAGTGTTCTAAATAGCAAATATGGTTTAAAACAGTATTGTGAGAGACAAAAAGAGGTGAATATGGAAAAATGCAAGGAATTGTGTGTTAGAGTCTAAAAAGCGGCAGGGAATGAAACAGGAAGGGACAGAGGGGAAATTAAGCAGAGACTGGTTTTAGGAATTTAATTGTTTTATCATTTTAGTAAAATTCTTTGTTCAGAATGAAAAGAAAAATAAAGTATTTTATTGTTTTTAAGACTTTCAAAATTAAAATGAAGTAGAAAGGTCTGTTCATAGAAATGTATATAACTACAGAGATATTCTGACATTCCTGGGACGAAGAGACATTCTAAACATACAACCAGGTTTTAATTTGCTGAGAAGCAGCAATAGCAGATGACTCTGGCAGCTGTATAGGAAGTAAATAGATATTTCAATAGTTTTGTAGAGTAAGCAGTTTTGCTTAATCAAACAACGATTATTTTAGAAATTAATATGAACTAACAAAACAGAATATGAATTCTTTGTCACATGTACTGTATGATGCGGCAAACAAGTCCTGATTAGGATTCAACAAAGATCTGTGAGGATGATAAAGTGGCCATGCTGAGAACCAAGTAGAACAATATAGTGGCCATTCTGAGAATCAAGTATGACACTGCAGTGTTCCATTTAGGGAGGACACAATCATGCAGGCATTAAAAACCAGGATGAAGTAGTCTGCTGGCTACTTTGAGCCTGAATCAGTGCTCCAGGAACTCTGGGTATCTTTCCTTCATTTAATTTTCTGCCAGGAACAGGTCTTATTCCATTCAGCATATGACCAATTATTCCTTTTTCATTGATAAATTATTTCTTATGATGAGCATTATTCCAAGTCTCTTCTACCCTAAGATTTTGTAGAAGTTTTACTGGCAATTTGGACCTCAGGACTTAAGCTGGCTTGGCTTTATTTTCCCTTCTTTCTTGACCCCTTCACTGCTTTATCTCACAGTCACTGGGGCATTATCTATTGAATAATCAATTATTGTTTCTTTTAAAAATAGAAGATAGTTGCTATGTGTGGAGATCAAAATTATATTCTGATCCTTTTTTTATGCAGGTTTCTAACTTAAAACTCTTGGTAATATGCTTTAGGGCATTGTAAATCAAAAACACAAATGCTGCATCAGGTAGAATTTAGGCAGAGATATTCTGGCTATAATTAAGTGCTACTAGCATTAATACTTGAGTCTGGTTACACTACAATTTGAAAATAGAAATTTCCACTTCTCCAAATGCAAATACTGTTTATGCAGAAATAAGTTTTCTAATTTTTGACAAAACCAAACAAAACAAACCCCAAAAAACTGTTCCACAAGAATGTGCCTGTCTCAGTGAAATTGCAAACACAGGAGGGTGTTTGTTCATGAAACAGGGAAGACTAACTCAAATACTCCCAATGAAAAATAAGAGTTGGATGGGCTGGTCATTTACCTGATAAAGGGAGATGTGTGAATTAAAATCATGTCCACCTCCTAAACAGCTCATCTGCATGTCTGGATCACAACTAGTGGACAGTTTCCAAATCAGTTCTTTGGGGATGTAGATCTGGAAAATGGTGAGGGGATCAGCAGATAAATTTAGTTTCTGGGAAATAGGCAAGGGAGTTGGTTTATTCTTTTCTATGACAATATCTCAAAGATACTGCTGATTGAGTTATTAAAATTGTGTATCATTTTAGCAGTCTGAAAATATACATATATTACCGTGGAAAAATTAACAACTCCCAACACTCCAATATTCACTCGTTGAAATAACTGACAGACTTCCAATATGCACGAACTTTATTCTAACATTTTGCCAAATAATTCTTTATCAAAATTAATATGAAAATCATATTCTGCTGCATTGGTATAAACTGTAACCACAAATTGGAAGTACTGATACTTTCTTAAGGCTATGTTCTAACAACTTTATCTAGATGGGATAACTCGTTATCATTATAGATACCACACAATTTTGTAAGCTCTGTAATCAATTTGAAAAACTTTGTAGACAATGATTTCCAAGCCCTGGCTAAATAACTTCTTGCATTACAACAGTCACCAGATTCTTCTAAGGGTGTATAGTAGAGTAAAATATTTTAATACTCTTCAGCTGAGGAAAAAAACAAGCCTTCCTAGAAAATGTAATCCTGCAAATTCTTTGTGCCTGGAGTCAAAGACCTACTCTATTCTTCATGCCTTGTCTTTTCCCAGGACTTCATGGTTCCCATCTAAGACAAAAATGAGCTGTCAAGAAAGAATCAAGCAAACTTTTGAAGCTACACATAGAGATACACATACCTACATATCTATATCTATTTATCTGTATCTACATATCTGAATCTACACACATGTATATATGCACACACACACACATACACAGAGTGAGGAGTACAGCTTGCGCTTTGGAAAATATCCTATAGCTTTTAGTTTTTGTACATGATTCCACAGCAATAGCCACTCCTGGAACTGCAAAGACTAACAGGTTACAGTCTACTGTAGGTAAGAGTCAGGCTGTGAAGTCACACTTGTAAAACTTCCCATGCAAACAGCTGTGAAATCATCTCTGATCACCTTTTCTCTACTTTACAATGGGTTGCAATGAAAAGGCACTTTATTCCACATTACTTACATGCCATTTCTCATACAAAACTGCAAAAATGCTTGATACTTATAAATATTCTCCAAATAGGGACTAGAAAACTTAGAACCCTAGTAAAAGAATTATTAGCACTGGTAGCCTTATCAGCTGAAATTATTCCTCAGTGGTGGCTTGCCAGTAGTAACTGCTAAGATTTTAAAAGCAAAATGTGAAACTAATTTTACTGATGTGATTGAATAATTAGATAAGTGCAAAAATCTGTCAGTGCAAGAGTGTGTGGCAAATAAGTGTTGACACGTTCACCTAAAATACCTGTTTCAAGAAATACTATGAGTTACCTTAAACTCTTGCTAGTGCAAGGTGATTTGATTTCCACTCATCTGTACCAACACCAATTAATCACTGTAACAACAAAAAGGTCACAAGCAGGAATCTTCAATTTCCATAAAATGCATCTCAATGCACTTCTCTAAAAAAGTCAGATTTAGACCCAAACAAAAGCACAGACAACATCTCAGCCACTCTACACGGAGTCATAAGATGAATCTTTATACTTGCAAGCATTGGGAAGATATGTTAAATGAGACTAAACATGAAGCATCAAAGACTATCATTGCACAATAAACATGCCATGTCCTAAAACAGTAGAATAGTTAGTCCAATATAATAGTTTACGTAAGTTCAGTCTGATGGAATACAGATACTCCAGTCTGCTCCATATTCCTGAATTGGTTTCCAACAGCGTACTTCCCCTATCTGAGAACATTTTAAAATTATATCTCTACGAGAAGACTATATCTGCCAGACTTTTGTAAGCACCACACACTAGATCTTCTTTAAATTGTGCTGCAGAAGAGAGATAGAACCAGATCGGTACACGAAAGCAGGTTTGTAGTTTAAAAAAAAAAAAAGGAGATATAAAGTCCAACACCTTAATTTACAACTCACAGATAAAAGGCTAACAGTAGAAGGAGTCTTCAGCCAAATGGAATGATTTGGACCCAGACTGTTTCAGCTGAGCGTAAAGTTTCAGCTAGTGATTTGGAACGAGAGCTGGAATCAAGCTGGAGCCTCACGCTTGGAGTAGGCTGGTAAGTCGCAGCAGGAACCGGATCAGTCAGAGGATGCCAGGCTACAGTAGAGAGAGAGGTGTCAGAAACAGGTGTGATTCAGGGATGAGTTTAATAAATATAGATTCATGATTAAGTTTTGAGACCAGATGGACAGATAAGAAGGATTTTAGATATGAAGCTAAGAGACAATACCATATTTACCTTATCATGAAGGAGTTAGTCTGTGGAGTTCACTTGCTTTGCTAGTGCAAGAATAGAAAATGAAACTGCTATGCTCCACCTGACTTACTGATCTATCAGGAGCTACATTAGGATTAGTCTGGTACCTAAAGTATGTCCATGGTTGGATTCTACAGCCTTCTGCTATGCCCTCAGTGTTCTTTTTTTTTTTTTTTTGACTGCAGAGTCTACATGCAGAAAACAAGAAACTGCAGGTCAGACTCTGTCTCTAAGGACTTGCTCACTGGTCTTAAACTGATGCATGCTTACCTTAAACCCCATGAAGATTCAATACAATTTCAAACTTATTCTTTTTATAGTGAAAGGAAGTTGAAATTAAAAATTAGCTATACTAGATATGCCTGGCAACCAAATTACCAAAATAACAAAATTCAAAACTACTGGTTTTATTACTGTTTTTTGTCCTTGTCTATCTGGGTGCATTTGCTATCTTACTTGCCTAAACCTAGGGTATGCAGCTTGGGAAACAGCCATTTAGGTGTTACCTATGAACACCTGGAAAACAGAAAAACCACAGAAGCATGTCATTTGAGCCTCTCTCCATGAGTTCTTGGTAGTTCTGTATCTCATCCTTTAGCCTCTATGATGTACCTCAGAAAACTTGCCATCTTTTTGCCTCCTTGAAGACACACCTTTGAGAAGGGCACATGCCGTGAGGAGGAACTGTTACAAAGATGGTGAGAGGAGCTGCAGCAAGTGCAGAAAGAAACAGAAACGATCAAGCACCTGCCTGAAAGTGATACATTATAACACCAATATTGAGAAATGGCTGTCAATGGAAAAGACTGGTTTAGTGGTACCAGTGAATCTGTTCGGCACAGTTTTATTCCAAGTTTTTCAAGTTTTAATGTATTTACCTTTCATATGTACCCTCCAATTTTCCTATTGGCTCCCATTTACTGCATTGCAGATGTTTCCCTCATTGGTCCCTGCTGATCCTGTGTTCCGTCCCTCCTTTCTTGATTGGTCATCACCCCTATCAGTCCCATGCTCCTCCCTGGTTTCCAGAACCTTCCTCACTCTACCCTGTATAAGTCTTCCCCTGGCTTGAATAAAGTGTCATAGCACAGCGACAACTTGACTTAGTCTTTTACTTTGCTTGAACCCTATTTGCTGTCGTGGATCCTTTCCAACCCTAGACTGTGACACACCTTTTATTATTTTTTTAAAAAAGCAAAATATTTTTGATGTTCCATGAAGTTCTGCTTGCATTCAATTCCCATATCCGCAAAGGATAGCTGTTTTCATAGGTAAATAAACCTCCCCTTTTAATTAGGGCACCATTTTGTGGAAGGCATAGAAAGTCAAGGTGGGATCGGGGGGAAAAATTGCCTCAAGCTGTTTTTCTCTGTTGTTCAAACTTGCAGGAAACTGGGGTATGCTTCAAGGCAGAGTTTGTTTCAAAAGAAAAACACTGCATTTGCCATCAAAGACTGAGATTTGCAACCCTAACCACAACCCCAAAGTCATACTGAGTCCAACAACACGAAAAAAAAAGTATAGATTAGTCAGAGACAGAGAATGTCCTTACAGACATGCAATCAGGAAAGTGTGATCAAAACAGAGGAAACACAAAGCAGACAGAAAGTGACAGAACAAATCCCACTGAGGAGTATGCAACTCTTCTCCCTCTACAGAGCTGCAGCAACATGGGATGGGAGGGAGAGGGATAACATAGTAGTGAGTCTGAGTTAACGTGATGCCAACTCAACAAGACAGGTAATTTTATTTCTGACATAGTTGTAATTTGGGCAGTAAGAGCTGTGGAGTGACTTCATGAAAAGTACCACAGAATAACTTAGTGCCAAAATCTTAGGCCATACTGAAATTAATAGAAGTTGTTTCCCTCTGGTGTAATGAAAAATCCTATTCCAGTCTAGCATCTATGACGTTTTTCTGTTCCAGTTGTGGTTTTGGAGCAATTATTCAATTGTGTTTTGGCTGGAAATGACTTTTCATTCGACAGCTACATTGCATTTGTTGCTACTGTATCTCTATACCTTTGCTACCGCTCTATTGTGAAGACTTCTTCCATCAGAGCTCTTCCCTGGACTCATCTATTGACTGTCTCTCATCCGGGCACCTAAATCAGTGTTTCCCTAGTGGGCTGGGTTTTCTGAATAAAGAGGAGTTTCTGGTCAAGCAGTCTGTGTTTATCCTGCCTCCAGTGGGAAGGTGACTAGCAGGTAAATCTTCACCCATCCCAACCCTCTCAGATGGAGCTGGCTACAAACTATAAAACTTTGCTATGTGATTTAGTTTTTAGCAATAATTGCAATTTGAATGAAGTTAATATTTTCATGAGTTATTACCTGACTTCAAAAACAATAGCTCCATAATCCCCTGTAGACATAGGAACGGCTTCTTGATTGCAGAAGTCATCACAGAGGAGACAAGGTTTTTAACAGCTGGCATCTCCTAAGATTTATTTTTTTTTACATCATTTTTCTTCAGTGAGAATGATCTTGACACTGAATAATTCACAGTCAATATCTACTTAGGAATAGTCTTTTTCTATCAGCAGAGTAGCCTGTGAAAGGGGTTAACAGTAATCAGCACAGAAGTTTCCATTGGGGAATTACTGTAAATACTGAGAACTTCTTCCATTTCTTTCCCTGCTATAGTTACTGTTTTTTTCAAGTGAGTAGTTTGGCAACCCTGAAACTCTAGCCTTTATTTCTAGTTATAAATCAGAGAATCATCCCCTTGTGTTGACAGTTGCTACATAATATCTGATTCTTGCAGGTTTTAAGTGGTCCAGTGTACGAAATTTAAGAAATTGCAGGACACATAAATTTAGGGGTTTATATTCAAGTCAATGACTTGCTTTTAACATAATGCAGGCAGGATACTGAGGTGCCAAGGTTGAGGGTGAAGGTAACAGAATAATAGTAAAAATTATTGCCATTTTTTCTTCAGTTTCTTTAGCCTGACTGAGACAATAATGCAGAGACATTTAGAGCTAGTGTGATAGAAACACCATACCTAATTAAACAATCATGAATAATTCAGACATAAATAATATTTGTGCACAGATTTGCAAGTGGACTATCAGTGATCCATTGCAGATTTATTAAAGAAGCCACAGAATGTTCCTGTTGCGGAGGCCAACTGTAAGGCCTGTCTGTAAGGATGTTCTTTGTCTCTAACTAATCTATACTTCTATTAACAGAGCAATTCTCTGTGAAATTTTCAAATTTCAAAATGAAGAATTACGTAAATATAAATGATGGCTCTGTTCTCTTCATTTCACTTTTTTTTTAATTGACTGAAATGTGGCAACACAATCGGAACAATCTAAAAACACTCCACTGACTTCTGGAAAATTTTGGGGTTTTAATGTAAGAAAAAAGTGATTTCACAAGCACTACACATGTGGTAATCTTATCCAACCAAAATAAAATTCTCATTGCCTGAGGACAGTGTGGAAACATGGAAACCTTGCTGGAATAATCCATCCACACGAAGAAATGCAAAATTATCTATTTGTGTCCTTTCTGCAATGTTGTCTGACGTACAAGTCAGTATGACCACCATCCTAAGCCTAGAGCTGTGGAGTCCATTCAGGGCTCTCCCTACCTCCTGCTGGTGGTCCTGGGAAAAATCCTTATGGGACCTGAGCTGTAGCTGGGGGATGGGACTCAAGGCTTTGTTAAGGACTGCCCCCACAGGCAGACACCATTGGTTCTGGCTCCACAGCCAGGATGGCTGCACACATAGTTGTGTCCCATAGAGCTCATCTGCCAGGAACTTTGTCCAAAAAGGGTCTGGAACGCACAAGCTGGTCACAGCCCCATGGGCTGACCCTAATCCAGGTCAATCCCTATCCCCCAGTTCCACAAACGCTTTAATGAGGATCTGGTGAAGGGAGCACAGTTTTATCAGCCAAGCAAGTCTAATCTTCAGTGCTTTGTGATGCCTTACCTGCAAGACAGATGCTAGTCCATCCTCAGCAGTTATTTCTTGTCCCACTTGTATGGCCAGCTGGGTGTCCCCTCAGGCAGAGGGAAATGCCCCCTGCCCCAGGCCCTGAGCTCCCAGTTCAGTGCTCTGGAACAGTGCTTTGGAAACAGCAATCCCACAGCCATGGCAGGGACTCCCTTGCTGGAGTTCCGGCAGAGCAGCCTGTTGGTCACCAACAACACCATCTGGTTCATTGAGCTGTGTGTGGGAACTGGCTAGGATGAAATAACTCCTGGTGGCCCGCTACATGCTAGCATTGAAGGTTTCAATCACAAAATGGTCAGGGTAAAGCCACATGGAGCCTGGGTCAGCTCTTGAATCTGGCTCTCACTTTGGACAGCTGTCTGATGACACGCAAGAGAGAGAGCACCAGAGCTCTGGGGAAGCCCAGACACCATTTCTTCTACTTCAGAGGAGAAGCCCATGCTTCTGCTGTGTTGAGAAATGCCACTGACTTGAACAACGTCCATGCCCAGACCATCGCAAAGGCAGTGTTGTCTGGAGGTATCTGCAGCAGCACTCTGCTACACAATACTCTTTGTCATCGTTTTCTTGGAGTAGATGCACTGCCCAATCCACTGGGTCCACAGTTTTGTGGCCTCTGTCTTTGTATGAATGCCCAGATGCTCACTTGGCTGCAACCCACCTCAGCCAAATTAATTGCTATGGGTGGGAGCTATGGAGACATTCACCTTGAGGTAAACCATGGAACCAGGACAGGCAGAGGCTCCTGTGCACCCCGCTCTGTGCTATCATTCTCAGGCTACCTTGACTGCAGGAGCATTATCCTGTCACTGACCGCTAGTTGGGATCCAGCAATGCTGATGTGCCTTTACCCCCAGCTCCCAGTTAATCCTCCCTTATGGTACCATCCCAGTCTTGCTGCTTCCTGACTCAGAAGAGTTTCTTTGCCTTTGTTGGATTTAAAAACTCATTCAGTGGAACAAAATAACAAAATTCAAATGATTGTCCCCTCAATATCATTCATTAGATAAGCTATTGGGTTTTGTTCTCTTCCCAAAGAATAACTGTCTTGTCACAAAATCACACCTTCAGATGTCAGTCTTCTCATTAAGATAGAACAGAAACCTTAGGGAATGAGGTGCCATTTCACTATACGTGGTCCATAAAAACTGAGCTCCACAAAAGATGTGACAGTGTTCTGACATTGTTTTACCCGTGTTATAGCCAGTCTTTGGATATGTGAGAGACTGGCAGTCTCTGAGTGCTTAAGTTTCTAACTTCTTTAAAGAATGAGAGATATTTTTAAACTTGTGGTGGTACAAATTTGTCTGTTTCTCTCTGTCAGTAACTTTGTGGGCAATTATTGAGGTCAGAGAGCTTATGCACTCTTTTACCACCTCCATGAAAAGTTTAATGGACAGGTTTTATCTGGTTTTAGTGTTGCATGGTGACCACAGCACAGCCTAGCCTTTGCCCAGGGTGTGTGTACCCTCTGAATGTAACACTTCACTACCTTGGCATGCCACATGGACAGACTGAACCAGTTTTATTCACCTTAGATAGAGGACATTTACAGAACAGTTCTCTGTGAAATTTTCAAATTTCAAAACGAAGAAATGGAAAATTCTTAGGTAGTTTGCAAAAGAATAAAAACTGAAGAATATTTGAGTTGAATATTAATAGGGACCTGCCTGTATTTATTGCCCAATAGGTGCATCTCAGCATGTTTCAG